GCACAGTTACGGTTAACCTTGCCTCGAGGTAATCTTGAAATCCTATTAGCAATGTTCATCTCCGGAACTCGTCTTCTCAGAGATCTCATTAGCACTGCTAGTAGCAGGGAATCTTAAAGCCCTTTTTGATGAAGCCTGGTTTCTCTTACACTTCTTTTACGCAAGAGCAAGCGCTCATCGCCTCCAGGACGGCGAACACAAAAAAAAACTGCCAGACGACCTTGGGAGTGAAATATTGGATCATTTTATTGCTTCCCTACATTAAAAAGCTGCTTCGAAATTGGCCAAAAACCGCCCCTTGTTTTCTGTAGCCTTCGAAAAAAAAAACAAGACGAGCAGATTTCCACTAAACAAATTAATCAAAATTAGCTGTATAGCACGCCCTTCATTTCCAGAGTCAAGTTTTTTTCCTAATCCATTCGTCACTATGCACACTCACATCATGATTCCCTCCCCCTTTTCCGCCCCCATCCACTTTTTTCCGCCGTCTTGGAGAACAACGCGAAGTTTTGATTTTAGCTCCTCCCACCTGACGCACGCCTCGCCCTCGGGAGACTGCGGTTTTTGTTCCGTCACTTATGTTGTAATGACCTCCGACGAATCTCCCAAATCTCTCGCCTGAACCATATCCATAATGTAGCAAACACCGCCCACTTACTGGCGCGCTACGCCCATTGGGGCGGGTTCCACCCATGCCAGATATTTGTTAACCCTTAGACGCTGCTCATCCACTTATTCAACTCTTTTCCGCTTCCCAACCTGTATCAGAACCACGTTATCATAGCTATGACAAGTATCGCACTCTATAGCAGTCCTAGCTCACATTTTCTTGTTTTTCTCACACCTCTGAGTAATTTTACTGGGACCCTAGGTAAAAAGTGTTGGCTTCGGTACCGCCTAAAGCACGACCCGTCCATCCCAAACTTGACCTATCTCTCCAGAAAGTAATTCGATTCCCATCTGATTTTGTGATGCGCAGACACACAGACAGACAGACAGACAGACAGACAGACAGACAGACAGACAGACAGACAGACAGACAGACAGACAGACAGACAGACAGACAGACAGACAGACAGACAGACAGACAGACAGACAGACAGACAGACAGACAGACAGACAGACAGACAGACAGACAGACAGACTGACAGAAAGACAGACAGACAGACAGACAGACACAGCGTTTCATATCTATATAGCAGAATATTTAACAGTTTCTGCAGTAATGGCAGTAGTAATAGTAGCCAAATTCCAATTACCTGTGTCATTATTTATTTATTTATTTAATCTTGTGCACGCTGAGGTGCGCTATAATACGCTTGCTTGATCACATATATTTAATAAGCACCACACCAGATATGCGGAGAAATAATGATCCAAAACAGAAGGGGAGGAGATCTTCAGTCAAAATGAATGAGGAAAGCGATGCACATTTTTTTGAACATGGGAAAGGGTACTCTAGACTCCATAATGGCTGGCAAAATATAAAATTAACTTCAGTATCAATTAACTAGAAATAAATATGTTCACTAGTAGTGATAGGCGTTTTCCCTAAACGAGCACAAGTAGGCGACACACAGCCATAAATCTTACATACAATTTTCGACAAGGTTGCGACAACGAACTCGTTTTTGCGGAGGACCTGAGAAAAGCAAGTCTTACTTTCAAGAATGAACGCATTTTACACCTGGGTGGTTTCCCTTCAATGATTGTCCCGTAGGTCCCAATGTGTGCGTGGTAGAAAGTTTGATACGGCGATTCAGCAGCTAGCAAGAAGAACAGGAAAACGATAAGACGAGAGGATCGTGCGGAGTGATGTGCTTCACCAGCTCCCTATTACGTCTCGGCACCGCCTTCGCAACGTTACACTAGACAGTAACTGGTTTTTGTTTCGCTAACCGGTGTGGAACTGCAATTAGTGATGGCGGCTTTGCATGTGGCTAAAACAACAATAGCCGTGACAAAGCTATCGGAGGCCTGAAGCTCTCTGAGAGTTTTAATTAACATAAATATCTATTACGAGAATACTGAAATCCTCGAAGCAATCAGTGCCGAAATTCCGCTGTCGACGCTATCGGTTACTTGTCACTGAGGTGAAGAAGTGACGCTGGGGTCATACCAAAGCGGGATTCGGCTGGAAGAGAGAGGTGCTTTGTTTGGGGCTAATCGGGCGTTTCTTTTGGTTTCATCTTCGTTTTCAGATCAGTGCCTGCCTCAGCTTCATAATTGAACCCTTCTACCCACTGCATATTATCCGGAAGACATTGCACTTTAGATTGGACAATGACAAAGTACACGGTAGCTGCAATAATACTTACTGAAGGATATCGTATGGTAGCTTTAGAGGATATTATAAGCAATAGCTATGTGGAAGAAAGGATAAAATTATCATTGCTAAGAAGTGACCAGAACTATTCGATCCTGTGGAAGTGCCGAAAAGCGTGCATCCATGACAACGATGCTAGGAGCCCTGACTGCTGAAATGGTCGGGGCATTCAGCCTCTCCGGAATGCGCCATGAAGTTGACCTCTTCATCGAATCGCGTAGACATTTGAATTTGCACAAAAAAGACAAGAGTCTAGGACTAGTAATGCTGAGTTCAGATTCGTTACGAAACTGTCCTACAGAATCATGTGAGTTTGTCGAGATACGCACCGCTCCTGTGCTTCAAATACTGGATGGAGAAGGGAACATCTTGAAATGCAAACTGGCTCATTGGCAGACTCTGAAGTTCTTACTCACACCTGGCCGATTTTATTTTTTTTTTTTTTTTTTTTTTTTTTTTTTTTTTTTTTTTTTTTTTTTTTTTTTTTTTTTTTTTTTTTTTTTTTTTTTTTTTTTTTTTTTTTTTTTTTATTTTTTTTTTTTTTTTTTTTTTTTTTTTTTTTTTTTTTTTTTTTTTTTTTTTTTTTTTTTTTTTTTTTTTTTTTTTTTTTTTTTTTTTTTTTTTTTTTTTTTTTTTTTTTTTTTTTTTTTTTTTTTTTTTTTTTTTTTTTTTTTTTTTTTTTTTTTTTTTTTTTTTTTTTTTTTTTTTTTTTTTTTTTTTTTTTTTTTTTTTTTTTTTTTTTTTTTTTTTTTTTTTTTTTTTTTTTTTTTTTTTTTTTTTTTATTTTTTTTTTTTTTTTTTTTTTTTATTTTTTTTTTTTTTTTTTTTTTTTTTTTTTTTTTTATTTTTTTTTTTTTTTTTTTTTTTTTTTTTTTTTTTTTTTTTTTTTTTTTTTTTTTTTTTTTTTTTTTTTTTTTTTTTTTTTTTTTTTTTTTTTTTTTTTTTTTTTTTTTTTTTTGAAAAAAAAAAA